ACTATACTGAACTGGTAAGCATTGGGAGACTTCAGTGGAGCTCTCACAAACTTGAGGCAACCAGTCTGACTAGTGTTCCTTAGATCCACACAATGTTGTAGCTCTATTACCAGTGGTTTTAATAGTCCCTTAGATACTGATATTGCATATACTGCACTCACTAGCACAGTACCTTTGGGTACCTTGAAATTACCACCAGCTAGTGCAGTAACAGCTACTTCAGTATCCTTGGACACTGCTCCTTGAGGACACTCTAATCTGAATCCATATTTCTCCCACTGGAGTGAGTGAGACCTGTCTCCTTGTAGGATAAAGAGCTTCTGCCCAGCTATAATCACACTAGAGTCTAGTGAATCTGAAACAATACACACACATCATATCTAATACCAGTATAGTACACACACAATCATTCACATGTGTACATGTACATGTACATGAATAATTTACCCATGGAAGGGATCAGGTAATTAAATTGTAGTCCAATGGAACTAGTCTTTTTGATGGATTGTTCTTTTAAGGATGTGACTCTCTCCTGTAGTTGTGACTTCTCCTTCATTAGTTTGGTTGTATACAATTCATTATCACACACGTTAGCTCTAAGGTCTATAAATCAATAGAATATTAATAATTATTATGATACACTAACCAGTAATAATCTGTTTCTCATTCTGTAATTGTTCTTCTACTTTTGATGTCAGTTTGGCTATGACTTTGTCCTTTTCCAAAATGAGATTTTGATTGCTATCTACACAATAAATATATTCTTTCATCTAATACATGCTGTGTGTATAGTTAACTAACCAATAATGATCTGTTTCTCCTTGAGATAATGTTCCTCCTTCTCCTCCATATCAGCTACTTTGAGTTTAAGTTTCTCATAATCTTCTATATTAATAGAATATTCTCTCATCTAATATTATGTACTGATGATACACTAACCAGTAATAATCTGTTTCTTCTCCTCTACTGGTGTCTTCTCTTCCAATATTTCAGCATCTTTAATTTTGAGCTTTTTGTAACATTCTATTATCAATAAAAATACAAAGATTAAGGATGAAAGATATTTATTGCTCATACAAATTTGCACTGCATGTACAGTAGCCCATAAATACATGTACTATGATTATTGCTAATCATACCATATATGGTAAGCAGAGCTCACTCTACATGAAACTCATTATTTTTATTGCATGAGCAATTTGACCTATATTGAGTACAGGATACTACTTCCATACTCAACATTTTCTAATCCACTAGTATTATAATGTAAACAATGTACACATAAACAACAGTACAACACAATAGTACCTAATTCAAGAGTTGATTTATCCTTTTCTGCTTGCTCAAGGAGAGTAGTAGCATCATCAAGTTGCTGAATAAGTGTTGCCTTTTCTTTAAGAAGCTGTTGCTGCTCTTTGTCTCGATCTTGCTGTATCTGCTCCTTCTCTTTTATTTCTCTTTGAAGCTGTTCCTCATAAATTTCTTCTTTTTTATGTAATTCCAGATGATCTTGAAATATTTGAAGTTGCTTCCCTGTTCCTAAATTCTCCCAATCACTCAGTATCCTTCTTCTTAGTAGATATTGATACTGGTCCAGAGGTATTACACTAGTACACCAATCATTATCACTAGTATATCCTATACATGCAAAATAGTGGAAAATAAGAAATACACAAATTAATTACAGTTAGTTACTATGGTAACCTTATTATTGATAGATTCATGTTTAATCATTGTATGTGTGACCTCTGTCAGTTTACACAGTTAACCACATGAACATATTATTGTATATAAATACACTGATAATAATATTTCATTCACTCTAGCTCCTATTAATATCAGTGTTTCTGTATCTGCAGTCATTATATTTCACTATTGTACATAGTAGGAATAAATTGGTAATAAATAGTATCATAGGTATACGTGAAATGCTCTCAATAAATATTCATCATGAGAATTACTTACTTTATTGTAATATTATCATTACTAATTATCATTACATATTCAATACACATTGTATCTACTACTGTCTACATGTACTTACTGAGTTCAATAACTGCTGTATCAGCGTAAGATAGTCTTCCTCCAAACTCAATTATCCAGTTAGTAGTTGGGGTCACACTCCACACTGAGAGAGAATGCCAGTATCTCTTAGTGACATTGACTGGTAGATTAATCTATAAAATTAAAATGATAATAATTAATTAGCGAACAACATATTTATTGATTTGATATCTGATTAATAAAAAAATAACTGACAGTTTTATAGTCTGCACAGTGTGTTTTATGTAAGACAAAGATAACATAATAAAATTAATAATACACAATAATAGACAAGTATACACAACTGAGTATGTTATTATATCATGTGAGTTCTCAATTAAGAATGTCATAAGTGTCTGCATGTACATCTATACATACACATGCACATACTAATGACACACTAACACACATACATGTACAACTATACATGCATAGACATATAAAAGTACATGTAAAGCATGCATAATTGCTCACACACATACACACACATCTACATGTTACATGTACACATGATGTACGTGTTAGTACACACATACACATATTAAAACATATGCACACATACACACAAATAGTCAAATACATGTATGTACATACACAATGTACACAATGTATATAAAATAAAATTTATTTTAATTCCAGCATTGACACTGTATCAATTGTGACTCTTTCATTACACACACAGACATGCAGACACATGTATATTCACACATTTAGGTAAATAAAAAAACACAAAACACTAAAAACAGACACACACACATATATACTGAATACCATGCAGCATTATTCATTAGTATAGTTTTCACTGAGTATCATAATATGTAGATGTACATTACAAACCTCATGAGTTACAAATTTAGTTAAACACCACATGTTTCATTATCAAGCATCATAATATAATACTTACCAGTTCTTTCCATTTTCTTTTGTTAATGTCCAGTAACCATACATCATGGGCATCACTCCCACCCACCACTAGTAAGTGTGGTCCTGAACTAGTGGTAATCAGTACACTGGAATGAGCAGATCTTTCCTTAGGCCATTGTACTAATCCTTCAGGATTAGGTACTTCTAACATATTCTGAAAGAATAATAAAATCAAAGTAATGAAACAGTTAATAAACATAGACTTGGTTTAAATTGTGTATCAAAAAAATTGTGATATATATTGACAAAATAATCCACATTGTATTGAACTGACTGCAATGAGCATGCACATGTCAAGCCATATCAATGAAGTTTTGATGGAATAAAATTTTTTAAATTGTAATTGGATTGGAAACCCACAATTTGCAATCAACAGAACCTCATAATCAAAGCTTATCCTACAGTTTTAACTCACCACTGAAGTCTTAGTGAAATTTATCATATACAGTTTATTACTGACTCCATTATCAGTAGAGCCTCCGAACATTACTGCAGTGTTATTAGTAACTGGTGTTAGAGTGAAGTCATAAATAGGAGGTGGCCTGTCTCCAGTAACAACAGGAGATATCCATTGATCTAATAATAATGTACAAACATTTATGTACACTTACTTACTACATACACACACATACATCATACACATTCATCATACATATGTATGTGTATATGTGTACATTATCATTATTTATACATACACATCATGCATAGACACACATCACTGTCACATGATACACACACAAAGATACACTTATTAAGATATTCGGATTGGCAGGGATAGTCGCAGACTATAGTTGACAATAAATATGATGGAAACTCAAGTTAATACAAAGAGGAAAAACAAAGAGAGAGAGAAAGAGAATACACCAGAGCCAAGAAAGCATCAATGAGAGAATGAGAGCCCTAAAGTGCGTACCCTCGCCACAATCTGTATTACTTGTAGTTTGTTTGGTTAGAATAAATGCATGAAAGTGAGAGTAAAACTCAGTGGAAGTTCTGACTGAGGTAGAAAAGAAGCTTCAGAATATTTGCTGCACGCAGCAATGTAAATGTGTGGCTGCAATGAAGATGTGGCTCAATTAAGCCTTGCTCCACCTGCACACACAGTAAGTGGCACATGGCCCTAAGTGGTGAAGAAAGCTTTAATTTTTCTCGACTTTTAAACAGTGAAGCATACATTTGTTAGGCTCTATTTGTTGCATACAAACTGCTATTGTGTCCCTGATGTTTAAAGACTCTGGCCGCTACTTCGGGAGAAGAGAGCCTTGTCTAAACTCACAAGGTATGAAAGTTTGGGCTATCATATCTTTAAAACAAGATGATTGGAGCAATTTCTTACATATTATTTAAAGATGAGGCTTTGTTCTTTAGTTTCATTTGTCTTGCTGCTTTTTAGCTTCAACCACGAAAGAGATATATTTGTACCGACTACATTTGGTGACACCAGTTGTGAGCTTTTTATGCCTCAGAAAAGAGAGTCAAACATTTTCCAGACAGAGAATAACTTTCTATAGCCAGTTTTGATTATAAGACTTTCCAGGATTTCACATGAAAGCAGTGTCAGCTTAAAAGTGGAGATCAAGCGCGCGCACACACACACACCGTGCACACACAGACAAAACAACTGCTTTACCCTCGATTATGCCTACGCGTGGCTCGGGTAACAAGTGCACTATAGCACATGCCCTCACCATAATCAATGTAACATAACACAAATGAAACATTAATCTTGTTCTTCAAAAATTGTAAAGAGAATGCTGCTGTCTTGCTATTACTCAGCTTTGCATTGCTTGCTGCAGCAATTGAAGGTGTGGCTGGATTAAAAGGTGTGGCTCAAATTAAGCACCACCTACTACAATAATGCCAGTTACTGATAAAAAGCATTAGTTTTGTACACTTATATGCAGTTTATGACACAATAGTTAGGCTCTATTTGTTGTACTCAAACTTGTTTGTAAGCATCTAGATCTACAGTTTAAAAGACTTTAGCTACTCTTTCTGGAGAGCTGCACTTCGTGTAAACTCAGAAGTGGTAACAGTTCATACGCCAACTGCATCGGAAGTCATAAACGCCTGTATAATTTTATTTGCAATACAGTACACAACATGAATAATTAATGAGCTTCTCATTTATCTGATATCTTTTTTACTTTTAATACCATACGCATAAAACTTGCTAACAGTACACAGTACATGTATATCTATCATCATAAAAAATATCAAAAAATTTAGATACACTATAACAAAGCTAAAA